TACTAATTTTTTATTGTTAATATTGAACATATTATTATCAATTGAATATATTATTTGTGATATTATAAGTGAGAATTATCTGAGAGTCAGTGGAAAGCAACTAATATCAAAATTAACGCATCAGCTATTGAGATGTTAAATATAATCAACGGCTGTTTTTAATCCAAACTGTATAAAAAAATTAATAAATAATAAGGCTCTGTAAGTATAAAACAATATATGCAAAAGAAGGGCAAAGAGCCAGTAATGTAGTAACAAACTTTAATTAAAATTCAATCATAAATTACTAAACGGCAAAACAAACGTTTCGATTCCGCTCGAGTCATTTTCAATGTTGCGATAATATTAAAACATCGCTATAAAATATCTATGATATTACATTCTTCATATAAAAAAAAAGGAAAGAAGATATTAGGAAGGAAAAAGAGAATGTATAATGCCAGAATACGGTAGATTCCTTAATTTCCATTCATACCATCCATCTTTGTCACAAAAGAGGTGTAATTTATGGAGTTGTGGATAGGATTTTTCGATTGTGTCATCCAAAGTTTCAACAAAATAATCTAATTAACGCTATTAATATTTTTTTAAAGAATGGATATCCTCTACATTTTATTTTCTCGACTATTCATAATATTTAGAATTAAATTTCATATTAATAACATTAATAGTTTTTAGAATAACAAGGATGACACAGAAAAGTTTTTTACTATTCTATACGTTAATATCTGAAAGATTCATACCTATCGTTCACATGTTTAATTGTAAATTGGCCTTTACCATTCCTAACACATTAAAAAATTTTATAAAGAGGGGAAAAGATAGGCTGGAACATGTACATAATCAAAATGTGATTTACAATATACCCTGTGAGAGTTGTGATGTTAGTTATGTTGGAGCCAGATTAAAAGACAATTAAAGACTAGATTGCATGAACATATTTCGGATATTAATATAAGTTCAAAATCTCCATCGGTGATCTCTAATATGGACCTCACTATATGGAGGAGAATCGCAATTTTACATAGGATAAAGTGGATATATTAGATATATAGAAACGACATATAAACATATAATAAAAGATTAATATCTGAAATAGTACACATAAAAAAACAGAAACATGGAATAAACAGACAAAATGACACGGTCTTTGCCCGAAGCGTATTCTGGCATTATACATTCTCTTTCTCCTTCCTAATATCTTCTTTCTTTTTCTCCCCCCTCCCTTCTTTGCCGTTATCCGTTCTCATTAGTTTGTTTTCCTTTTCGACATTGCGTTATTCGATATTGTGGAAGTCAGATGTTCGCTACTCTTTGCTTCAAAAATTTTTTAATAAAACTATTGTGCGATATGGAATACCATCTACCTGCATTTTCTCTCTTTTTTATTAATGGACTCTATTGACAAGGTACATAATTATATTATATATATATTATTAATTCGCATGTATCTAGTATTAATATTTTATTCACGGTCACGTTTCTAGAATATTTCTCTGACTACTTTGAATTCTGATATAACTGACTCACAAGGCACTACACGATATGAAAAATGTAATACTATAGATATTTTTATAGCGATGTTTTAATATTATCGCAACATTGAAAATGACTCGAGCGAGGTCGAAACGTTTGTTTTGTCGTTTTGTAATTTATGATTAAATTTTAATTGAAGTTTGTTACTACATTACTGGCTCTTTACTCTTCTCTTGCATATTGTTATATAAAAAAAGCCAAAAATCGTTCATCGTTAAATCGCAAAGAGATTTTATCGAAAAATTCAAGATTCGAAATGTACATTTCACTTACCGGATTCTTCTGTCTCTAATTCCTCTTTGAATACTTGAAGGGTTTCAGATACATTCGTTTGGTGATAGCAGTGGTCGTTGAGAGTGCTCTTTTTGATATTGTATGCCATCTGCTGTTGTATCTCTTCGTGCTTCCTTCGAGTGATCCGTTGATTGTCCTCGTTGTTCATCGAATTTTTGATTGCCGTCGGTGATGGTAAGATTTCTAATGATGACGTTGAAGCTTCTGATGATGATGATGAAGCTTCTGATGATGTATACGAAGCTTCTAATGATGTATACGAAGTTCCTGGTGACTTATACGAAGCTCTTGATGATAATGGTTTCAGAAGTGATGGTGACGTCCGGACTGAAAACTGTGCCATCCTCTGAGACATGTTGAGCTGATGTTGACAGCTTTGCTGCTCTTCTTTTATAGCAGTCCTTGAATCAATCGCCTCGTCTTCGGATAAATCAGTCTGGAAGGAATCACTTTGCTTCCACGAGTGCCACTCCTTCAAGCATTCCTCCTCGGCATTTTTAAATGCTCTCGCTGCTTTGTTTTTGCAGCGCGTCAAGTACTTATCTTCTTCGTCCGACATGTAGTGAAGGCAGTTATCTACCTCTGAAGAAGTTGAGGAACCTGAACTATGTGCCTCTGGAGAATTTGAGGGAACTGGATTATTTGTCTCTAAAGATTTTAAAAACTGTGAACTATGGCAATTAAAATTTTTCACATTTTTAACTGAAGTCCGAATGGCACTGAATGATGCGTGATACACTTCAAAGAAATCACGGGAGCGCTTTATACGGGGCCTCAGTATTACGTATGGAGATCTTTTATTCATAAACATTTGGCGCTTTAAGAGTTTTATTGTGCGCGCCGCGGAATAAGCTTTGAACTGTTGATCTTCAAAGTCTATGATTTTTTGCGGAAGAGGAAGATTTTTACTTTCCGAATCAGCGAATATATCTTCAGAATCTTCCATTATATTTGCAAATTTTCTTCGCGCACAGTTTTCTTCGTACAGCGAGCCTAATTTCGAAATCGACAGCGATTTTATAGGCTTCAGATTTTCGTGTAATTGTAGGAGGTTTGACTCCTCCAGCTCAAACTTGGGTTCCGGTTTTCTATTTAAATTCCCCAATTTCTCATCCAGCTTTACACCCTCCAGTTTTACATCCTCGAGCTTTACATCCTCGAGCTTTACATCTTCCAGCTCTACATTCTCCAGTAGATCAAACAAAGATACCGGTTTTGAATCATATTCCTTCAAATCCGGCATCTGGTTCGGTGTTGGCTCCTCTCCCAGCTGTAGATCCAACTGGAGTCCCGGGTCTGGTGCAGGAGTCTTCGGCTCCAGCTTCGGCTGTTCCTGCTGCTGCAATTGATTTTTCGCTGCACATTTTTCCTCATTTGTGTTTGCAGGAGTCCGTTGTAATCGTTGCTGATTTTGTAAAACATTGCGATAGTCATTCCGGTTGTTGTTGCGATTATCTGAAACATAAGAAATTAATTTATAAGTTTATAAGTTAAACAAACTTTTATATAATACTTTATAATTAAATTATAAAGTATTATAGTAAAGTATTATTATTTAAAAATTGTAGCTTTAAGCATCTATTACTACATATTTAATTTTTTATTAATAACAAATTAATTTGTTATAAATTTCTTTGCAATATGCTGCAAAAGATTTAGTTTAATCGGTATGCATTCAGTAACTTCCCTCTATACTTAAAAATTCAAAAATTCATCTAGCCTTTATATCACTTTTATAGCAATAAGTCGTTAATTAACTAGAACATAAGAATTTCATGTCTTATGTTAAGTTTTGCAACAATTAAATTAATATAATAATAAAAAACTAATCCAATGACAATAAAATAGAAAACGTTTAATCAATAAAGTTTATAATTTAACTTAATATTAAACTAAATATTTGTATTAAATTATCAAATAATCAAAGTTAAATTTAAGTTTTATGAGCAATTATTTAAAATAAAAAATAAAAAAATTATTATGAAATTATGATTAAAAATAAAAAAATATGAAATTTTATATAAGTATCAAAAATAAAAAATTTAATTTAAGACTCCATGTATCAAAAATAAGTTATTTATTTTTTGATATATGGATTTTCAAATTTTTCTATTTTAACATTTTTTTCTTAAATTTAATTGTTTAATATAATTGTGAAGCTTTTACTTTTTATTATTCTTCATTGCATTCTTGATTGCAATATGTTGCGATAGAGTAAAGTACGGAATTACATCACGTACCGTAATGCTGGCATATTATCGTGTGTATCAATAACGTACAACATGTAATTAATGATTTCGAAAATAGGAATAAAGATTGCGATAATATACATAATACTATGAAAATAGATGACCTTTTCATTGTACTTGCTTTCCGTCATGTTTTTATTCGTTTTTAATTTTTTATAAAATTAATCAATATTATGTACAAAATATATTAATAAATAAAATATATATTATTAAACTAAGAATACAATATTAAACTAAGAATCTTTCTAAAATATGGATATTATTATATTTATCCTGAAACAAATTATAACTACATATTACATTGTTTAAATTTAATTAGCGAATAAACTCGCGAATGAAGTTGACTTGCGTGTATTTGAATGATGTAAGTAGAAAAATTGAAGAAGAAGAAAGACAAAAGAAGAAAAGTTTGCAAACATATATATATATATATATTTGTGAATAAATAATGTAAAACGGAGCGAAAAATAAAATGGATAACATAATGCGACAAAAAGTAACAAATTATTATTTACAAAATTATTCTGACTATTGATAAACCGATGTCTAGCTGTCACCCAGGATAACTTCTTATCTGCATGGGAAACTATTAGGTATGTTCGGCATTATTTATATCCCTTCGGAATACATTTCGCAGCTAAATATACGATCTTTAATATTACTTTCTAATACGTGCAGTCAACATCCAACATTTTTTTCTGATCTAATTCAACCACGGCATTTCGTAACTGAAACGTATGTATCTCGTGCTTTGTTGATATAAATTTTGTCTATATAACTTTGTATGCAGTTATAATATATTATCGTTCCTTTACTTCAAAAGCATGACACAGCTAATGTGATTTTCGAGTTATGAATGTGTTAGATAAAGATTACTCTATCAATTATCAAAAGTAAACTAACTTTACTTCAATCCGTCAAATAGCAATTGTGTTGTTCTTTCAAGATTTTCAAAGAGATCGTAATATCTTCTATCGAGTGATACATTTTGAGTTGTATCGTTTTTGTAACTAAAAAAGAGAACTATAGAACATTTAGAGTTAAGTATATTCTTTTGAAGTAAAAGAATTATATATAATCTACCGAGTATACTTTTCATTACATCAATTAAAATGATCGAGGAAGCATAAAGAAGGAAATACAGGATGACATTAATCTATTATATCAAACTTCATCATAGTATTAACTATTTGAAATAAGCCGAAAACAAATAAAGTCAAAATAATTGCGTAATATTACAGTCTGTGTCCTTCTCGTAACAATTAATTCATTTGTGGCACAGAATTAAATGGCTAGTAATTCGGGAGAGATCAGTTCGAGCCAACCCAATGACAGCTCTTTAGGAATTCAGTTTAAGATAGTAGGGAGCAATTGCGGCGATTGAAAATACGCGGAAACGCTATATAGGATGATTCATCGCTTGAAACTGTTCCAGTGAGATGCGTTGCGATTTAAGATCGCTGTTTCGCCTAAAGCAGATGGGAAACTGTGTACGGATGACGCCTGCGGGTGATCCGTATGAATCAGAATGATTACAGAAAGATCAATTCTACTGATACTTACGTGCCACCATACTTTCCCTTTCTCCCATAATTGCAACTTTATCAAACATTCAATCAAACGTTCGTTTAATGATTACCTATTACAGTTATTGTAGTTTGTTACATATTCGACTCAATTATTTTTTAAACGGTGCAAAATGATCTTTTCGTATTAAAGTATTAATAATTAGTTAACTCGTTTATATTCTACAATAGACAGATTTTTTTTAATATGTGAGACGAACAAGATACAAACAATGATGCTCGAACACTGCTTGAAATGAGTACTCTCAAAAACTTTTAGAGTGAATCTCACTCTGAAGAGTGAAATCTCGTTCAAGATAGAAAACTGAGTCTCTCTTTTTTAAGATTGACTAAATTTTCACTCTTTAGAGTGAGATTCCACTCGAAAGAATTTAGAGAGTTATGAGAGATTATATTAATTTATTTACTCTTGAGGGAACAAAAAAAGAAAACAGATTACATAATAACATTAAAGTAAAAAATGAATAAAAAAATTTTTAATTTAAAAAGATCAAAAAAACTTCGATTTTAATAAGAGAAAATGTCAGAAAAATTAAATTTAACGTATCTGATTTAATCTACCCTAACAATATCGAAAATCATTACTTAGCATATTACGATATAATGTGCGATAAAAATTGTGTATGTAATGAATTAGCTCTCATGTAAATATATCTCGTGTGTAACTTACAATGATCTCTACATCCCAATTTCATACGTTTCCAACAATATTGACAGTTTGTCAGGAAAAAAGTTCAAAAGTAACCGATGTGGGAGACAAAGCTTTGGGCAAAGAAAGACCATTTCGAAGACCCGGCGAAGAAAAAAAGCTCTCGTTCATGGCTCCGAGCACGCGGACAACAAATGATCGCGCACGCAAACAGACATATGTTGACAAACGGAACGACTTAATTATCAGCCACTGTCACTTGGCTTGAGAAAATTACGAAACTCAATTCTTCACTCTTTTTTAATTGCTCGGAAAAAAAAACGTATGGATTAAGTAAGATCTGTCCGAAAAATCGTACAAAAACATTATTTTATTAATAGATATTTGATCGCATTTAAAAAGTAACTATTACGCAAAAATGATGCTGAAATTGTTAATCTAACGAAAACAAATTATTTGCAGAATTGTAATTTATAGGATTATAAGGGCACTGATATATTTCTTTAAAAAAAGGGTAAAAAATGGTAACAAAAAATATTAATTCTTACGTTTTTTTTTTGAAAATAAATTTTATGAACACCCTGTATACTGTGGTACTGACCTGCCTCTATAACGCTATCGTCCTGACCTATGTCTATGGCGCTATGATGCTGAACTTGTCTTTAATTTACTGACCTATCTCATCTATTTAATCAAGTATATTTAACAGGCTTAAACCAAGAGTCAACGAGATAACGAATATATGTGCTAAAAAAAGCTTTATTTCTTTTTGGACGCTCAATTCACAGTTAGGTAGTTGTATAAAATTGAACAAGTACGACAAATCGAAATCAATGCGGCAGTAGAGAGATTAAAATGTATAGTCTACGTACTTCTAATGAATTAACCCCTTCGTTAACTTCGTTATCACGAAAATATAAAATCCAGAAGGAATATCCGTAATATGTCGCATCGCAAATGATATCTGGGCCGAACGGATTCGATCGTAACCGGTCTCTATTATGTAAGAAAAATATCGTTATCTTTGCCCTTGCGTGCCCCATCAGCGGATATAATAGTGCAAAGTTCGAAATTGCGCGGCGTGTTTCAAAATTAGTTATTATCTGCCACCTCTCGCGACACTAGGACTTATAGTTAGACGCGATCACGGCTCTTACGACTAATTTTTGCTATCGACACTACTGACAGATGCGTGACAATACAGGCATAATAACTGAAACATCCGAGCGTCCGAATAATGACATTTACAATCATAAAAAAATCTAAAGAATTTGCTACATTAATCACGGACTGCGATCTAAGTAATTTGTCAAGTTTAATTTTTTGACACAATATAAATATTAATAAAAATTAATAATTAAAAAAAAAAATAAAATGAAATAAAAAAAACGTATTTTTTTTTTTTACCTCTTTACTGAATTTAATTTGCGGAATCACCGGAATCTGTTCCGTTCGTTCGCAGTTGAGACGTTTCGTGAAAGACGCGTCGCGGTCTCTCTCCTTTAGGAAAGTAATTCCATCGGCGGCGTAAAATCGCCGCGACCGGCCGAATCACACCGCGTCACGCGGGAGAGAAATTATTCGAGCAGAGCAAGATCTGATAAAGTGCTGGAGAGCCGCTTTCGTTCGGACTTTCGAAAACGTGCGACGCGCGCGTGACGCGCGACACGATACGCAGCGTCGCGATCGAACCCCTTTAATTGCTGCCTATACAAGTCGCGAGGAACGGAAAACCGGTCCAGGTGCAGATAGCTAAGTACGCTCGGCTTCCGCCGAACATTATCGCTCGAGCGTGTTACGAGTCGACTTTTCTATCGGATGCTAATTAAGGGTGAGTCGGTATCGAAAAACTGGAACAGCGAAAAATCGCACGGCAAACTGGCTCGGCGATTAAGTCGAGCACAGCGCGCCCTTTTCGTCGATGATCGATGAAAGCTTCCACGTGCAAGTACCCGAGTTTTTTTATCACGTCAAGTGGCCTTAGTCGGTGTATCGAACGAGGAATCGACACGACGCGCTCATAGAAAAATCACGACGGTAGTTAAGGTTGCAAAAATAAATTAGCAATTCTCCGAAAATAAATCGGAAAATACCCAAAAATACTTTACAGAGATGGATGAGCTGAAAGATTTTTTTTTTTTGGCAAAGTATTTAAAAAATTCGCAATCGTGATTTTCGAAGAGAAAAGATAAACAAATATATATATATATATATATAGGTATGAAATAAGAAAAAAATGTATATAAATAAAATAACAAAAGAGAGAGAGAAATCAAAAATATAAATAAAATATTTTTTTCTCTATAAAAACTATATGAATAGAAAACGCGAATGTACTTGACGCGAATTTAAAAAGACTGTCTATTTCTGATGGATCGACAATTTTTTGCTTCGGTAAAAATGACGCGTTAACGTTTTTTTTTCTTTTTTCGGAAGTACAAATTCGTAAATGCTTTTTCCGATGAAGATGTAAATAGACAAATACACGAAAAACGTACAGTCGCACATGTCCGAGATGAGTTTGAAATCGAAAGAAAGCACCGTGCGTGTTTTTGATAAAATCACTGAAAACTTGCACACGAATCTTTCTGATGGCAAAATAAATAGGAGCAAAAATATCTGAGAATAAATAACGAATAGACGAAAATAGACAATATGAAGAATTCGTATCCCTCGTTCATTTTGGAAGTTAGAAACAGAAATTTGCCGACTATTTATAAATCAAATAAAATTCCGAGCGATTAATTGACGTAATCGTTTCACAATACGGGATATACAATATAATATATTATAATATATATAACCTTGGCCACAAATATAAAAAACACCTTCGAAAATTGACATATCTATCGAAAATGACATTAAAAACCATGAAAATATATATTTTTCAATAAAAAATTTTGATTAAAAAAAATATTTATTCTTACAACAATTTATTTCGTCGATCCTGTTTACACACAGCCAATATTCTTTCGAGAAAATAAATTAAAAGTGCTTCATACCTAACAGCTAAGGCCGTTTATACAGACGTAGTAATATTATTAAAATATAATGTTTACGTGCGGGAGAAAATCCACGCGGCTGGACGAAAAGCAAAAAAAGAAACAGATTAGGAGAGACGATTCGTGTGTTTCGCGCTTGCCAAAGATTCCATCTCGCGCGCGCGTAAGTATAGAATCCGCGCGTCGTAAAGTGCGTCAGATCGAGTCCGTTCCGTGCGTACGTTTCCGCTCGCGGAGCAACGCGATCGTCTTGCCGGCGCAGTCCCGTCACGGCTCGTAAAGAGCCTTTTAAAAAGCGCAACACGGGCAAATCGGATTCCTATGAGCAAGCGCACGCGTCATACTCATTCCCATCGATTCCCGATAAACTCGAGGCAGGTAGGTAGGTAAGGTTCGATGAACCGGCCGCGCGCGTGAAACCGCGCACAAGTACACGGCCCCGCTAATTATAGAAGTTACACGTTAATCTTGTTACTCGTATTTATATTTCTACGTTTCGCGCGTAAATTTCTCTCGCTACAGTTTTCCCCGGGTCCATCCATTAAAGCTTCACGCAAATACTTATGGTCATCGAATCGAGACGAAGAGGGAAGTCGAGATTGGAGAGAGAAACAAGGAAACTTAACTTACGTGTGCACATACCGATTGTTGTTTTTGTCTATTTCCCTGTCTGATTTTCCCGCCATTATTGGGTCCGTACAGTGTACCATACGTCATCAATTGAGCTTTATAGTGGCCTCCTCGGGGAGGCTCCGCTTATGTTTTTGTATTTGAGAGTAATTTGCATTCTTACT